TAAATGGATCAATGGTACAGAATAGAGAGTCCAGGAATGGACCCAGACAAATACTGTCAACTAACTTTTGACAAAAGCCCAGAGAAAATTCAGTCGAGAAAAGATAATCTTTCAAACAAATGATGCCAGAACAATTGAATATCCATATTCAAAAGAATTAAATTTGTATCTATAACTCATACCATGTACAAAAATTAACTAAAATAAATCAGAGGTTTAAATGTAAAATCTAAAACTGTAAGTTTCTGGAAGAACACCCACCTGAAAAATTTATGATTTGGGGCTGGCCCCGTGGCCGAGTGGTTGGGTTCGTGCGCTCCGCTGCGGGCGGCCCAGTGTTTCGTTGGTTCGAGTCCTGGGTGTGGACATGGCACTGCTGGTCGGGCCACGCTGGGGTGGTGTCCCACATGCCACAACTGGAAGGACCCACAACGAAGAATATACAACTGTGTACCGGGGGACTTTGGGGAGAAAAAGGAAAAAATAAAAAAAATCTTTAAAAATTTATGATTTGGGGCTAGAGAAAAATTTCTTAAAGACGAAACCAAAAGATGTAGTTCACAGAAGAACAGATTGATGAACTGGACTTCATCAAAATGAAAAACTTCTGCTCTTCAAATGACACTGTTAGGAGAATAAAAAGCTAAGCTGTAGACTGGGAGAAAATATTTGCAATTGCATGTCTGATAAAAGTCTTGAATCTAGAATATGTAAACAACTCTTGAAAATCAACAAGACCAATATCTCAATAAAAAATTGTGGGTACTTCACCACAGAAGTATTTATTTGCACATGTGCAAATAAGTGCATGAAAAGATCCTTAATATCATTAGTCATTAGGGGAATGTAAACTAAAACCATCTGAGATATGGCTTCACATCCCTTAGGATGATGGTAATAACAAAGGCACCACACCAAGACATGGCGAGAATATGGAGCAAGTAGGACTCACCCACTGCTGGTGCAGATGTAAAATGGTACAATTGTGTTGGAAAAGAGTTTCACCATTTCACAAAAAATTAAATGTAAGCTATGATATGATCCAGCCATTCTGCTCCTAGATACTTACCCACAAGAAATGAAAACATGTTCTTGTACAAAAACTTATGGAGGAATGCCCATAGCAGCTTGATTTGTAATAGCTCAAACTGTAAACAACCCAAATGTCCATCAGAGGGTGAGGTTATGAAATAGCTCTTATATCTGTGCAAGAGAACACCACTTAGCAATAAAAGGGAGTGAACTATTTACTGACACATACAGTAACATCGAGGAATCTCAAAACAATTTTACTGAGTGAAACAAGCCAGAAAAATAGGAGGATATACTGCATGATTTCATTTTTATAGATATCTAGGATATTCGAGCCTAGTATATAGTGAGAAAAACCATAAGTTTCCTGGGGATGGAGTGGGCAGGGAGGTGTGGGATGAAAGGATTGCAAAGGGCCAGTGGAGGCATTTTGGGTACGAACATGTTCATTATCTTTATCGTGGTGATGTTTTCACGGCCATGCACAGGTGAAAATCTGTAAAATTGTCCACTTTAAATCTGTACTGTTTACTGTATGCAAATTAAGTCTTTGTGATGGTTAATCTTATGTGTCAACTTGGCTGGGCCATGATGCCACATTGTTTGGTCAAACATCAGTCTAGACGTTGCTGTGAAGGTATTTTTTAGATATAATTAATATTTAAATCAGTAGACTTTGAGTAAAACAGATTACCTTCCATACTGTGGGTGGGCCTCATCCAGTCAGTCGAAGGCCTTAGGAGAAAACAGACTGAGGTCCCCCAAGGAGAGAGAATTCTGCCTCTAGACTGCCTTTGGACTCAAGACCTCACCAACTCTTCCTGGGTCTCCAGCCTGCCGGTCCCACAAATTCCGGACTCGCCTGCCCCCACAACGGCACGAGCCAATTCATTAAAATAAATCTCTCTCACTCTGTGTCTCCTATTGGTTCTGTTTATCTGGAGAACACTGACTAATACACCTCTACAAAGCTGTTAAAAATAATGAAAAAGGGCCAGCCCCAGTGGCCTAGTAGTTAAGTTCAGCACGCTCTGCTTTGGAAGCCCAAGTTCGATTCCCGGGCATAGATCCACACCACTCGTTGGCAGCCATGCTGTGGCTGCAGCTCACGTACAAAATAGAGGAAGATTGGCAACAGATGTGAGCTCAGGGTGAATCTTCCTCAGCAAAACAAATAAAGTAAAAAATAACAAATGATACAAAGATAAGAACCCTCATCCACATTCCCATTGACAACATTTAAATCTACAAAAGGAAAAATTATCATGATACATTCAACAAAGACAGTTGAAAAAAATGATTTCAGACGTATGTGGAAGGTTCATGCCTGTTTTTGTCTTATTTATACCTTTCTTTATTTTTTACATCTCAAAAAATTAAAAGGTGGGGCTGGCCCCATGGCAGAGTGGTTAAGTTAAGCGTGCTCTGCTTCACTGGCCTGGGTTTGCCAGTCTAGATCCCAGGCGTGGATCTACACCACTCATCAGTCATGCTGTGGCAGCGACCCACATACAAAATACGGGAAGATGGGCACAGATGTTAGCTCATGGGTAATCTTCTCCAAGCAAAAAAAGAGGAGGATTGGCAACAGATGACAGCTCTGGGTGAATCTTCCTCAGGTGAAAAAAAAAAAATTAAAAGGAACTAACTCTGAAAATTAAGAGTTCCTACCAATTAATAATAAAAAGACAAACACACCAGGAAAACCTTGGCAAAGGATATAAACAATTGATTTACAGAAGATGCTAAAATGACACATACATGGGAATTATTCAGCCTCATGAGATCTAATAAACGGAAATGAAGACAGCAAGAACAACTGTTGCTGGCCTGAGCACTGTCCAGGATGCTGGCGTCAACAGTAAGGTCCAGGCTGATGTGGTTAGGCTGGAAGGGCACTCTCAGCTTCCGTTGGGAGGGATGTAAATTAAAGTAATGAATTTTGGAATTCACTTGGCGCCACATAGCAAGGCTTTCCAATTTCGTCTTTATTTTGACCTAATGGTTCTAGTTTTACAATTTTTTTCTACAAATGACTACAACTATAGGAAAAGATTTAAGTGCAAGCATGTTCATTGCTGAAACGTTTAAAGAGTAAAACAGTAGGAACAGTCTAAATGTAGAAAAAATAAAAAAGTGATTGATTAAATAAATGGTGGTATTTATGCATCATGGGATTTCAGACTGCTGTGAAAACAGTGTTCTGGAAGAATATACGATGCCGTGAAATAACGTTCACTACTAAGGAGCCTGTTTACTAAAGACCTATGGAGGGAACCTGCAAAGAGGGCAACGAAAGGTACGAAGGACACGCTAAGTGCTGTTGACGGAGTGGCAGACTGAAGGGCCTTCTCTTTCCTTCTGCTCGTCTCACTTGACTCAGGAACGAGAGCAGGCAGCCCAGCGTGTGCGGGAGCAGACTGCTCAGGGCCAGACTTCCTGCATCCACCCTGGGCCACCTTCAAATCCTGGGGCGGTCCCTTAACTCCTTCACGCCCCGGCTTTCATACCTGTAAATGCAGGCACTGAGGGTTGTTATGAGGTTGAGGTGAGCGATCTCTATGGGCACAGGACTGGGAACAGCACCCGGCATGCAGTATGGAACATAGAAACACTACTTAAAATTATTAAGACTGCATGGATAAAATGGATGATTATTCTCCAGAACAGCCCCTTGACTCCATCTCCCAACCCCACGGCAGTGCCTTCTCAGGTGCTCAGCCAGGCCGCTCGCCGTCCTCACGGAGCCTGCAGTCTCCCTGGCTGCATCTTCTCACCCTGTTCTTTGTCACCTGCCTTTTATGCTTCCTTCTGTGCTGCAGCTCTTCTGTCAGCCTGAAAGCTCCCTGAGGCGGTGGCCGACAGCCATGGTTTTGACGTCTGTCCCCAGCACCTGGCCAGTGCCTGTCTCAATACACATCACGGACATCTCCCCAGTTCTTCTAGCCAGAGGCCTGGAGTCATTCTGGACATCTCTGCCATGGCCCACAGTTTCTCAGTTCCCGAGGCCGGTCAACGCCACCTCCTATGGAGCTCCTGAATCCCCCGGTGTCCCTCCGTCCTCCGCCTCCAAGAGGAGCAGCCAGGCTGTGGTCTCTCACCTGGACTTCTACACCTGCCGCCCACTGCTGCCCCACCCCCACCCTCCACCCTCATCCTTCCCCAAGTCAGTGATGTCTGCAAAATGCCTACGGGAGACGCGTGTGGCACGTAGGAGGCCTTCGAAGGAAAGCCTGCGATTGGTCCAGAAGGAAGAATAGACCAGGCCCGCGGCAGTCCGCCCCTTTAGCTGCCTCCACACACAGATCCATACAGATCCGTTACAACACAGTTTCTGCTTGTCATAAAATACACTTTCCTCCCATCGTACCCACGGTCACACCCCAACATCTCGCCCAAACATCCAGCTCCAGCTTCAGGATCTCCGGCTGCTCTCGGGCAGCCTGCAGCCCACGACGACAGGACAAGCATAACACACTCAACAAGGAGGAGTGGAAAGAGAACAGGAAAAGGACAACTGATATTTCTGTTTTCAAAAACAGAGCAGGGAAGACGACGTGCACATATCCTGGAGACGAGGAGTGAGGCATGGAGACTGCCTGCCCAGACTGGGAGTGGGGGCCTTGGTGACCCACCCTCATGAGCCAGCCCTCCTCTTCAGGCGACTCCCCATTTCTGGTGCACTCTGTGGCCACCTGAGCGGTCCCCGATGTAGGACACCCCTTCTGTGGGCCAGATCTCAGCAGCCCAGTGACTGTCAGCTTGGTGCGTAGTGAGACCCAAGGATTTCCTCAAGGGTTGCGTAGTTACCACCCCTTGTTTTCTAGGCTTGGAGCGAAGGTAGTGATGTGATTCTCTAATGAACTTATTTTGGTTCAAAATTTAACATCCTATCAGTTCTGGCTAGTAATCAAAACCAGCCAATCAACAACAACAAATTGTCACTTGGTGGTAGGTGTTGGGATCCAGAACTGAGCTTTCTGTTTCCTAGCAACAGAATTCCGCACTCTGCTCATCTCCCATCTTCAATATCCATCGTGGTCTCTCCCAGGGCCCTGGGAGCCAGCAGCATCTGCCCTTGCCTGTGGACTGCATCCCGCCTGTGTCTTTGTAATGAGGTCAGTGTTGTGGCTCCTTGATAGGAGGCCCCAATCTTAGCTTTTATCCCACCTCCTTAGCCTTTTCCATCTTCACTGGGTTTCAGACTCCTCACCACCCTGGATTCCAAGTCATAAGTGCCCAGGGTTCTATTTTCTTCCCTCTTCCTTATAGGAGTTTTCGGTACACAATAGGAACTAGTCAACACACCAACATCCTGAAGTTTTCCCGCCTGACGGGGATTCTTTGCTCGATCAGTCTTTAGTCATGCTCCCGAACCTTCTTCTAGGCCCGTCTGTGCACTTCCTTGTAAGATCCAGTTTTAACAAGAACTGTGGTAAGTCACCTTATCCAGATTCCTGCTCCCCACGTCTGATTGCCCTCATATCTGATCAGGTTCCGCACTCTCACCCTCCCCAAGCTGACGTCTGACCACCTGGGCCTGCACAAAGATCCTGTGCAGTCATTTTAGCCAGAACCTCCTCCCTACCCTTGGTGTTGATGTTTCCTCTTAGTAATTTTCCATCCACTGACCCCCACCTGCTCCTTGGCTGTAAGTGTCTACTTGCTCGCGCTGTATTCAGAGTTGAGCCAAATCTCTCCTCCACTGTGAAATCCCATCGCAGCGGTCCCTGTACCATCACAATGGTCCTGAGGACAGTCTGCCTCACCACCTTTAATAAGTGCCCTTGAATTTTTCATTAACATGTCAAACACCTGACGTTGCAGCCACGGAAGTCTCAGGGTCTGAGTTCCAGGATAAAGCAGGCCCTTTAACTCACCCGTGCTTGAAGCACTCTCCCCAGCCATCCCCGTCCCCATCGTCCTCCATCCTTTGGCATGACAGCTCCAATTTATCCTCCCAAATTCAACATAGACTACATCTCTCCTCAAAAAGTGTTTGTCAGACAAAGAAAATTACAGAAAACCAAATTATTGGGTGGGCAACCAACATTTTAAGAAATGAATTAGGATAGAAGAGAAATATCAGAGAGTATTGAGAAGGTAAGTATTGCTTTGTGACCCTTTCATTTCAATTGTGTGTGTGTTTGTCCTAACAACGGTACCAAGAATGTCTGAAAGTCATTCTCCTGGAAGCTTCCTGGCTCATTCTCACTGCTCCCCACAACCTGCTTTGGGATGGGTGTTCCCCCGGCTCCTTAGCCCTCCCACCGCGGCCACACCGGACTGTACCTGCTGGGGTCCTCATCTGTTCCCCAAACTGACCGCCAGTTTCCAGGGGGCAGAAATGTATGTCTCGTCTGCTTCTCTTCCTCCAGCACCTGCACCTACGTGCTCAGGAAACAGACGTTGAATGAAGGAATGTCCAGAACACAACAGAAGTTCAGAATGGACAGGATGAGATGGAATGTGTAACACTTTAAAAGTTACCACCTTTTTAACAGGATTAAAGGCTTAAGTCTAAGGAATGACAACGTAGAGATTTGGGCATCGCTGGGTGGCTCCGCAGACTCTGATGGAGGGGACCCCTCCCTGGGCGGGGACAGATGCCAGCCCCGCACAGAGACCAGGGGTTCTGCCGCTCGCCCCCCAGGGTCTCAGGGCAGGTTCTGAGCACTTCCCTGCTGGCAAAGGGAGATGGAAACTGCAGTTTGGGAAGATAGCAGAAAGGGAAGGCAGAGTGTTTTAATTAAACAGGAATAGAAAATGTGCGAAAAATATCTCCTCGACACAATCTCATGAGAGCAGGAGTGCTGCCCAAGCCCCTGGCAAAGGCGCCCCACGGAGCCAACCGCTGGACCAGCTCAGACGGCTGGCCTAGAGACTTCTCTGCCTTGGTTTCCCCTGCAGGAGCTTGTATGTGTGTGTACACGTGTGGTGTGTGTGGTGTATGATGTGCATGTATGTGGTGTATGTGTGAATGAGAGAATTTGGGTGTGTGGTGTGTATGTGTGTGCACACAAATGTGTGTGGTGTGTGTATATATGTGTGTGGTGTGTGTTGTGTATGGTGTGCATGTACACACCTGTGTGTGGTATATATGTATGGTGTGTGCGGTATGCACATGTATATGGTGTGTGCATGCACACAAATGTGTGTGGTGTGTGTATGCTGTGCGTGGCATGTGTGTGTATGTGTGCTGTGTACATGTGCATGGTGTGTATGAATGGCATGCGTGGTGTGTATGTGTGCTGTGTGTGGTGTGTATGTGTGTGCACGTGCATGCAGGCCCGGTGGAGAGCTGTCCCTTCATGCCCTCAGCAGGTCCTGAGCAGCCCTCCCGGCAGGCTCCAGGGTCCCCTGAGCAGCCTTGCCCGTCAGGGCACAAGGTGCAGGAACTACATGGTGACCATCTTTACTTTTCTTTGCTGTTCAGTCCAGGTCTCAGGACCTCGAGTGGCTCCGTGGGAAGGGTCCCCAGCACCCACGAGACCCCAGGGGTCTCTGGACTCCTCCTCCTCATGCAGAGGAAGACACTCTGACTCGGGAAAGATGAGCTCCTGTTAGTGTCCACTCACCTGCAGGAAGCCGGCACCTGGGGTGGGTCCTGCGGCCCGGTCCTGCAGTGCTCAGAGCCTTCCTGTAGCAGGACCATCTGGTGAGCACCTGGACTTGGGAGCTTGTCTCCTGAGGGGACACGAGAGGGAGCAGTGGGGATGGGGACACTGACCCCAAGGACACACCTTCTCCGTCCTCAGCTTGTTTGTAGGAGCGAACCAGTTTTGCAGATGATAATTAACCATGCAAATGAAATGGATTATAATTATTGTTATCCTGCTCAGAAAATCCACCTTCACGGGACCAGTCCCTGGATGGGGAGTTTGGAGACTCAGTACAGGGGCCTTGTCGGCGGGTGATGGGCCAGGAGACAGCTCACCAAGACCAGGACAGCAGGCAGAGGCTGAGGCACCAGAGGGGACAAGGAGAGTGCTCCTGGGCACGTGTCCCTCTCTGGTGGAGCACCGCTGCCTGCTCCCATCCTACGCTGTGCTCTCTGTGGGTTCAGTGACACGCGTACACCCCAGAACAGACAGGGCGCACCTAGGGAAAAGGCCCAAAGCACCCTGCAATTAGAATAAACTGGTGCCCCGACCCAAGGCGAGCTCTGGAACCACAGCGTTGCCGGCTGTGGCTGGGAAAGGTGAGCCAGCGGACCACGCAGCTCAAGTCCACAAACTTCACAGAGGCCAGGCTCAGGCTCCCCGTCAGGTGCCCAGGCTGCGGGCGCGCCGGGCCGTCTCTGTCGCCATCCAGAGGCGCGGCTCAGGCGCAGAAGCCCTCTGCCTGCCTCCCTTGCCAGTCCCGGGGCCCGCGCGGGATCCCTGCGGCGCCGGGCACGCGCGTCGGGCGCGCCCCTCGCCTCGGTGACCAGCGCGCGAGCCCGGGCGCGCAGCGACACCCAGAGCCGCGGGGCCGACGTCCCC